TTTTCCTCAAGTGACTCCATTAGACTCCTAATGAGGTTCTGATCACTGTCATCTTGGGCCTGACTTCCTCTACATGTCTGTAGGGTTGGGTTTAGTGGGTCGGTTGGACATGCCGCTCACAGGTTTGCACACTCGTCCAAACAGAACGGCTCCTGTTAACACAAACACACTCACCTACAGAGTGGATGTAATTGGCCCCATGCTGATTGCCAAAGTATTCCGGAAAATTATACACATTAGAGGATGAAGTCCTCGGCAGGAAACCAGAGAGGAAGAGAAGTGCAAAAAATTCTCCATAAGAGGCTCTTCATGGTGATGAAAGGAAGTGCTAATTTTACTGAAGAACTTATGATAGCTCACATGTGCTTTCTGTAATATCTTTGTTTTCTCACTCCTTCTCTGAACTCAGAGGAGGGATGCTGAAAGGTTTTTATCATAATCAGAGGGCTGAAGAACGGATCCATCATCAGTGAAAGTGTGATCATCTCGGATGATGGCACAGCCCAGTCATAACGAGTACATTTCTCCACTGTGAGATCAAATAAAGTCAGTCAATAAATCAATCAATCAATCTCAGCAAATATGAGCATCACTGATTGCTAACCAGGTCACAGATAAATCAAAACTTACCATTTCCTCAGAAACATTTAATCTTTTATCTGTTGGCTTCACGCTCTCAGACTGCACTGGAAAAACAATCTAGAAATAAGTAAAAATTTCTTAAATTAAGTGTATTTAGCCTTAATTTGAGTAGGTAAATGAGATGATTTGCCAATGGAATGAGTGTTTTTACTCTTAAAATAAGATAATTAGGTAATATGCACTCGAAATAAGACAAACCAATTGTGTTTTCCTATTTTAAGTGTAAATTGTCTTGTTCCATTGGCAAAATCCAAGAACAAATGCACTTATTTTAAGAAAAAAATGACTTATCTAGATTTCCATTTTTTCCAGTGTGGAAACTAAAGTCTGTCTTTAGTATCACTGAAAAATATGCAGGCACATTAATACAGCACTAAATATTCAAATAAATGTTTCCTAAAGGTACATTGTTGTATTTACACAGTAAAAAGGCCAAAAGTATGAAACCCTAACAAAATATTAGGGAGTGGCGGCTTAGTAGTCAGGGCATAGAGCTTGGAATCCTGAGGCTCTGAGTTCGAGCCCCACTCCCACAGACTGCCACTATGGGTCCTTGAGCAAGACCCTTAAACCCACACTGCTCCCGGGCGCCGCACGATGGCAGCCCACTGCACCCCAAGGGGATGAGTTAAATGCAGAGGTAAATTCCTCCAATGTGAGATCAATAAAATGTTAAATTATAAAAAAAAAAATACTAGGATAAAAGTTTCCTTTCACATATTAAAGAAATCCAGATGTTTCTGTGTTCAGCAGCATCTTCCAGCTCATCCAGTCAAAAAGGATTAATAGATTTGAAAAGAGGTTTCAAATCTATAGAGGAACGTATGTTTGCTGAATCCAATCCCCACGCTGCAAAAAATGTAAATCTAAATAAGTAATTTTCTCTTAAACTAAGTGCATTTGTTCTTGAATTGAGGAGGTAAGCGAGACACTTTGCCAATGGAACAAGACAATTTACATTTAAAATAAGAAAGAGCAACGGCATTGTCTTATTTCAAGTGGATATTATCTAATGATCTTATTTTAAGAGTAAAAATACTCATTCCATTGGCAAATCATCCCATTTACCTACTAAAATGAAGGGTAAATATGCTTGATTTAAGACATTTTTAACTATTTCTGGACCATTTTTGCAGTGCATCAGGGGCTTAACTGCACAAAAAGATCTAGAAATAAGTTAAAATGTGTTAAATTAAGTGTATTCACTCTTAATTTGAGCAGGTAGATAAGAAAATTTACAAATGGAATGATTTTTTTTTTACTCTTACAATAAGATAAAGCTCAAAGTTATATTTTCATTCCCATTAAACCATATTATGCTCCCTTTTTCCTCTAGGTTGCTTTGATTTATTGCTTCTTGCAAAAACATTTCTCCTGTTTCCTTCCCTCCTTCACACTTGAATCATCCTCTGAGGTTGTTTTTGCTTCCTCTGTTCCGTCCAACAGTCCAGCGATTAGAGCGACGGTGTGTTTCTGTATGTCGACATCACTGCCCTCATCGGGGAGCCCTGTTCTCAGACCACACTTCACTTCAGTGAATGGGAAAAGAGTTTTTGTTTTAGCCCTTCTGACTGCTAACGCTGGATATCTTAAGAAAAAAATCGGTTCATAAATCTGTATTTATCCAGTTTTTTTTCCAAAGGAAGCAGACACTGAAGGTTTTTGTTGTGTTTTCTTTTGCTAAATCAGGCAGGTTTGTTGTCTGCTGGGAGCCACCACTTTATTCACAGACAGGAAATATGACCTTAGCAATCACTTGGCTGACGTTTGAAACTGGAAATAAGGAATTCTGTTATTATGTCTGAAAATAACAGTTCCGTGAGAGAAGCCCCTTTGTTGATGTGGATAAAAGCTCCTAATAATCCTGAAACCACCATCCTACGACTCACAGAATATTACCCCCCATCAGAGCTGCTGGAAGTAATTTTGTTTTTGTTTTTTTGGACAAAATACCTATAAGTGTCATGAAACGGTGTTTGTTGGAGGACCCAAATGCAGAGACCAGTAGGCAGAGGTGAATTAAAGTCTGTTTATTCAGGTTAACAGATCCAGCAGCAGGAATCAGAGTCCAACTGAAAATTACGAATGTACCAAAACCAAGGAGACATCAGGGGTTAACCAAAACCAGAAGCCAGGGAGAGACGAGACAAGGCAGGCAGATGATAGACGGGAAGTGAGACGAGGATCCAGCAAACAGGAACTGAAGAGGGAGGGCTTTTAAAGGGGACAGAGACAAAGGGAGAGCTGACGAGGAAATTGACAACAGGTGCAGGCAGAACAGAGAAACAGAGTGAGGGAGGACACAAGAGGGCAGCAGAGGACAACAAATGGAAAACCAAGAAAAACAGGAACAAACAGACCAAGACTCTGACAATAAGCCTATAGACCAATTTAAAATGTGATCAAATAAATTAGTAAATAGATTCACTACTTTATTGTCATATACACTTCAGTGCACGCAAGCAGAGTCAGTAACGCAAAGACATCATTAAACACATTAATCAGTTCTCAGGTGACTAAAAGCACTATTAAATAAATTGCACAATAAAAAATCTTCAGTGGCTTTACGCCAATTTGAAAAGGCGGCATTCATAAAGGGGTCATCTTTCTTAAATTTGTCTCTATGTTAAACTTTTGTCGGACTGCTTTCAGACAAACAAAACACAAAATATAATCATTCTTAAAACCCACCTCTTTTATTTGGCTTTTGACACCATGTAGAGTGTTGATTTTATGTATACACATGCATATTTTTATCCTGTGCGGGCAGTGCTTTTATTTAATTTTATTTACTTTTATTTATTTTAGTTATTTTATCTTTTTTGTGCAGCACTTTGGAAACCTTGTGTTTATTGAAATCGTGCTATATAAAAAAAGTGGATTGGATTGGATTCCCAAGACACTGTGCAGGAAATGTAAAACTGGATGTTTGCTGGAAGGGCTTCTCTAATCCAATAACTCTAGTTTGGGTTGAGGGTGCTAGGCCTGCCGGTGCAACTGCCATAAAAAGCACGCGCCTTGCGGATAGTCTCCTCACTGCGGCTGCTCTCTGTTGTCATGGTTGAAGTACTACTGTAGTGTTCGTCTGCACTGATGGTGGTTTTCTAGAAAAATGCATTTCTGTCATTAGACTATATAAATGTATTAGTCTGCTGTTGCATGCAGGATAACTTGACAACGATTAGCTGGCTTGATGTTGGCATGAAAACGCAACTTATGTGAATTTGTGTTGATTAGGCCTCAGAATAATTGAATTGAAATCCAAATACATGTGATAGTTAAAGGAAAAGACAAAACCATGACAGAAGTCATGTTTTAGATTTTGAATCTTTTTTTTCCTAAATGGCCATTTACACACACAGATCTTATCCACCGTGTTACCTTCATTGCAACAAATTCACTCTGATATCTGTGGATCATGCTGGGAACCGTTTAGCCAAAAATAAACATTAAGATTTTTCTCAACCAATGTTTTTATTTGATTTAAACTTTTTCTTAACCACATGGAGATGTTTCATTCCAGGGTTTTTTTTTGTTTCCGTGGCCTTAAACCTTGTATAGAGAACTGATGACTTCTAGCATGCATGGATCTGTGTGTTAACTTACTCTCTCTTCCTTTCTATCTGACTTGTATTCACTTAAAGTAGCACTGCCACCTAAAGGGTTGGAGTAAGACATTGTTGCAAATGAAATGTTTGCTTCATCATTTGGAAATGTTGATTTGTTTAATTGCAGATATTGCAAATGCCTATAATTTCCCAATCTGGAATACAGCAGATATATTTTGGTTTGTGATTTCAGCTCTTTGATGTGGAGGTGGGGAATCACAGATGCTGATATTTATAAGGCATTAGTACCAAAAAGACCCAATCAGGTGTGCATTATTAGAAACAGACTGCTCCCTTATGGAAACCAGATGTATATATTTAATCTAGATTTGAAATTGACCCATTCAGTTGAGTCAGATGATCATCGTCATCTTTGGTTCCGCATCCAGGCTTTTTTTTTTTTAGAATTTTTAAACCATACTGGTCACTCTTGATCGGTCACCTCTGATAGATACCAGCTTTTTAATCTCCAGTACCATAAATCGTGTTGATGTCTTAGTTTAAGGTGGATCAGCCACTTTACCTGCTGCCAGAATCATAATGTATCCTGTTGGAGAATGTGTTTTTGTGAAGATGTTCAGTCATGGCAGCTCTGTGGGGAATTACCTCCCAGCACAGAGCGATGGAGGAAAAAGTAACTCATTTGGACTCAGTTGGACTCATTTTCATGTGACTGAAGCCTTTCTAATGGCTGAGGGGTCCCTACATTATAATGATCTGATCTTTCTGTTTCCTTCTTTCTTGGCCCAGCAGAATTCACCGGGCCTGCTGAGTATGCCCCGGAGCCCCACCTCCAGCGAGGATGAGATGGCCCAATGCTTTTCCGACTACTCCGACGACTGCCCCTCTGACAGCTCCCGCGAAGAGACCATCTACGAGACGATAAGAGCGACGGCCGAACCATCGCAGAACCACATGGACGACATTCACACAAACTCCATGGTGATCCGGGTCCTGATCCCAGACCTGCAGCAGACGGTGAGGGTTGGTTTAGGGGAACTGGTTTAACCATTTAGATTAGATTAGATTAGATGAGCTTTATTGATCTCACAGCAGAGAAATTCACTGGTCACATATTGGCATAGTAATTAAAGAAGGTGCAAACAAGGAGGAAAAAGGTGCATTAAGTAATCTAACTACTTCTACCATATGGTAATGCTATTGCATTACATGTCTTTCGCTGAAGACCTTCTCTGTGCAGCAGGCAGAGAGAATTTACTAAAGTATGGCGCAGCTCAGATGGAGGCACAGCGACTGGCTGGGGAGTGAGTGGGGAGTCTGTGTGTGTTCAGTGTTTTACACAAACGGAGAAAAAATTGGTGATGGGAAAAAGCCCTACAGCTCAGGGATGGTGTTTCTGACCTGATAGGCTAAATGTTGCTTATTTGGTTTTTACATTTGGAGGACAAGGATTTTATCCACATCATTTACAAGCATCTCTGATTTAATGAAGCAGTGAATTACAGTTGGAAAATGGCTACCATTTATCAACACATATCACTATGTGTTGTGAAGTTTTAACCTTAGGCCGGACTGGAGTCGTAACAGGCAGTCCGGCTCACAGGCGGCTACGCTCTACCCCTTCTATTCATTCGGTGAGCTAATCTGAAACGTTCGATTCCATTTGGAGAGCGAGACCATCTGTGGTAGCAGCACTAGACATCTTCCAGGCATGTGAGGAAAACTAGCAGCAGGTCAGCGGACAGGATGAATGAATGGTAGCCGACGCGCGCGGATGACATCATACACGCTTCGCTTTGTTTCAAAAAATATATTAATATAAAAAATATAACCGCGGATGTCTGGGGGACAGAGATGGCAAAAGTACTCACTTTCCGTACTTGAGTGAAAGTACAGATACTTCTGTTAAGAAATACTCTGGTAAAAGTGGAAGTACTGATTAAACTTCTTTACTCAAGTAAAAGTAACAAAGTACAGGCTTGTAAATTCGTCAAGTTATCCTGCATGCTAACGCCACCGCCACCAAGCTGCAATGATTTGCAGCGAATGAATACCGCCAAATCTGTTGATTCATCTTGTAGTGGTG